CAATATTTTCTACTTTCAGACCGCTCAAGATTTTTTATAATGGATAGTTTTCGAAAAAAACGGTTTAGACGATAGAAAATTTCATTCTCTAAAAAATGGTTACAATCCCTTTAATCAATCCGCAATGAATCACCTCTCAAAACGGTCCCTTTCCGATATACCATCAGTACAAATTTTGCCCATTCAAGCGCTCAATTACTCGTTGAACAGCGATTGCGCATGCTCTTCGCTGACTCCACCCTTGCGCTCAGACGCGTTCTTATGGCGAAGTGCGACGATGCCAACTAGAATACAAAGTTACCGCCTTTGTGCTGAGGAGGATGCGATGGAGCGATGGATATGTTTGTTGATCACCTGAAGGATGTGTGATGAGACCAGAATTCCGAGTGCTTGTTGTTGTTGTTGCATCTGGTTTATGTACGACGCGTTCTTCCGGATTACTCCAACGTTTCGTGAAATATACGTGGATCTTATTCAAGTTAGACAGGTCTGATAAACTTATACCTCATTCAGGTTTCGAGAGGAGACTGACGCTCATCATGCCAGGCTTCACATTCGGTGCACCAAGTGCTACGAGTACGCCATTGACTGGTGGAGCCACCACTGGTGCAACCGGCGGAACCTCATTGTTCGGATCAACTTCGGCTGCAAAACCGCTGTTCGGCACGACGGCAACTACTACAACCGCATCTACGACACAACCAGCGAGTAAGTTCCGTCAATTTTCGTCTGAAAACTTAGCGAGCTGAGTAATTTTCGACAATTCAGGCTTAGGTGATGTCGTATTTCAGGTTGGTAAAGTCATAACGACATTTTGTTCACATTCGCAATTGAATGTGTTACTTGGTTAGAATACAGCAAGAAACGTTCGAACGCACGAAATGCCGTTGTGATTTTACTAATCTGAAATACAACATTACCCAGGCTTATAACTGCTTGCTGTGACTACTAAGATTTTTCTCTATGACGTTCAAAGGCAGTTAGACAATTAGACTTATGCTCCAGTCCTGAACTGAATTCAGACGGTCCGGAACTAGGATAGTGCATAAGCGTAAGCCATGACTAGTATCCATGAACATTATTTTGGCAGAAGAAGCCGAATTCAGCAATTTGGGGTTTTCAGCTTTATTCGGTACACCAGCCACTGCTGCCGCTGCGAAAACTACTGGTGGTGGTCTTTTTGGCGCAGCCACTGCGGTATCATCAGCTCCATCAAGTACAGTTTTCCTTCACCTTTTAAATCCCTTTAACAGCTCGTATACGTTATCTTGTTGTAGAGAAGTTCTTTCAAAATTAATGGTGTCGTTTAGAAAAATATCAACTGAAATGGAACAGTGTCATTCCAAGTGAAGCAGTCTCATTGTTTCAATGATTGGAACCATTGTCATGTTGTGTGTGGAATGAATGTGTGCGATGTAATTTTTATGTCGGTCGATACAAATTCATTTAATCTCATCGATCTATCCCGCTGATCACAATGTTCATTCATTAGTTAACTTCGTTAAGAATTCGAATATTCATGTGAAAACCTTCCGAATACAATCTATGTTCATTCAGCTGGTCTTTTTGGAGCGGCCGGAACAACTACTGCCACAACAGCGGCGCCAACAGCGACTGGAGGCCTATTCGGTGGTGCCACGCAATCGAAAGGTTTATTTGGTACTACCACTACATCCACTGCTCCCGCTACTTCAACCAGTGGTGGATTGTTTGGTAAACCAACAACAGGTAAGAAATCGTTGACTGAATAGACCCAAAGCTGAACTATTATTTGGTCACAAAATAATTGGGACTAAATTCTTTAATCATTCTATTCAAATGTGTTTTTTTCTGTTGAACTTGTAATCAATTGTCGGATGAATGTTCAAGTATGACAGGATTAAAATCTGAGATGATGAATAAGATGATTATTCCTGATTTTCGTTCATTGTAGTTCAGTGGTAATTAAAGATACTCGAACTTTCAAGACGAATCAAGTGACAAAAATATTAAAATAACCCTTTTTCACAGTATAGTCTTGAAATTGTCGCGGAGTTCAAGAGACAGCGATTGTTTTTACTCAGATTTTGATTAAAAATTGATCTTCTGCGTCTCTTTTCAAGTGCATTTTGAAGCGATTCTGTGAACGATTCTGGTACTTACTATTAGATACTGTTATCGCAGGTGGTTTATTCGGTAGCGCTCCAGCCACAACTGCTCCACTTTCATCATCAACAAGCACGGGCGGGGGCTTGTTTGGCGCTGGTGCGACTGCAACTACTTCGAGCGTATCAGCAGGAGGGGGTTTGGGTGGATTGGGGGGTACGGCTCAAATGTCGTCGTTGGGTGGAGGCACAGCTACTAGTACAGCAACCACGAGCGCTGTTGGTGGATCCGGTGCTGCCGTTTCGACGAATCCAATGGACGGTGAAGTGCCAAAGCAATTGCTAGATCTGATTAATCAGCTGAAGTGAGTTAAGGATTTGTTTAGTTTCGTTATCAAATTATGTTCATTTGCAGTTATGATGTGTGTGTGCGTGTAATTGGAACGTATTTGAGTTTGCATCAAATCCGTAGCTCTGATTACGTTAAAGTCGTAGCTCTAAAAACAAGTAATCTGACGAATCTGACAACTCGATCGTTTCTCTTTTCCACCCTCCTTCACGAAGTCGATTTCAGTGAACGTTTGAAAAAGAATCGCGAATTATCCGATGAATTCGTGATGAATAGCAATGATTCTTGTATAACGATGAACGAGAAGCTGGATGAAGTTAAGAAATTTTTGGTTAAAGAGACATCTGATTTGCGAAGAATCCGGTGTAAAGCAAACGGTTTGTTCCTATATTTTACTGCATTTTTCGTTTTATTTTGTTACAATAACGGAATAAAGCACTTGGAAAGAAACGGAATAAATGAGAAGTTTCTTGAAGTTTGTTGGTAAGTCACTCGCTCTTAACTAGTATTCAGTTATTAGTGATCAGTTTTTAAGCGAATGTCGGATTTCGTCATAATTCTGTTATGATGGGTAGCAGTTGGAGTAGAGTGATCAGATTGTTTCGCAATAAATCCGTTGAATGTAAATTACAGTGCTTGTCGAAAAAATCGAACGAGACACACGAGCAGCCGAGCAATCGCAACGACGCCAAAAGGAGATGACAAAGGTGCCGCGACATGGCTACAACCATGCAATGGACTACCTGCAGTCGACATGCTCGGATTATGAGACCCTCATTGCTGAATTCAACGAAACGTTGTTGCGTATCGAACACATCATATCGACCAAACTCAATCGTGATCCAAATGTTAGCCAAGTCCTCTCTTAAAGAGCATTTGAGGATGTTCTCATATATCCATTTATCCATCAGAGGCGGTCATTCAAATCAGAATTGAAGTGTTCAAATACTTATTTGATTATTTCAGAAACCTCAATTAACGCATTCTGATCTAATGGGACACTTGAAACGATTTGATCAAGTTTTCAAAGTTATTGCCTCCGAAGTCTATCGGTGCAATCAACAAGTTCAAGTGAGTAGTACTTTTAGTGTGATTGTATCGCTCTTTGAAAGATCCTTCATTGTGTTTGATGTATATTGAGGTTAAGTGAAGTTGTCCTTCAGAAGCATCAACTGGTAGGTGTATGAATGGTTTGGTTATAGGTTTTCTGTATTGCGTTGTTAGATGATTCAGTTTGTTTTGTACGTAAATTGTTTTGATGCAATAATCTACAAAATTGTAGTTTTCGAGTTTGCAGTAATTTAGAATCTGCGTTGATTTTGTTCACAACATTCTCAAATTTGAACTTCTGCTTGGTTTTAGGACGCAAAGGAGGCACTGCTGGAATATCGACGAAGAACGATGCCATATGCACCAAATCCTTTCGAAAAGAAGCTCGATACGGTTCAAAATGCAATTGCATTATCGAAATATGTTGGTCAGTGAGACAGCTGCATGATTTTCGTTCGACCGAACGATCGAAGTTTGTCTTTCACCGAACTAAAGCACTGGTTTTCAGGTGCAGAAGCGTTCCCATCGCAAGTGACAATGATGAAAATTGGCGAATTAGCACGAGCCGCTACACACACTCAACCCACTGGTTTGCCAATTTTAATGTTGAACTTTGGATTTTCAAGCAGAAATTTTGACTAATCTTTGCATGTCGGTTGAGAGACGTTTATTTTGACTCCACGAAGTTTCAGCAACGACGGGTTTCGGAACGGGTGGTTCGTTGTTCGGTGCGAAACCTTTGGGAAGTACGCCGTTCTCATTCAGTACTCCATCAACTGGAACCACCGCCACACCATTATTCAAGCCATTTTCAACGCCGTCAACCTCAACTACAACACCGCTTTTTGGTATGGTTTATGAATGTTAACTCTCTATAAAATGGTGTTTTGAAATACAATCCGGACAAGCTGTTGGATTATTGATGATTTACATCAATGAATTGCAGTGGAGTTGATCATTCAATATTTCCATCATATCTAGGTAATTATGAACGGGCCATGTAATGAACTGACTCGCGTATGATACTATCAACGAAATTGCTAAACTATTTGGCTTTTAGCAAAACTTCTGTCAACCGTGAGAGGAAGTTTTTTTAGAAACTGAATGGTCTGCCAATGTCGTTGATCCATCGCGTCGATTATTTTGTATCTAAACAAATAGTCCAAAATAGATTTGTGGGTCGGATGAACAACACAGTCGCACTTGTGACTAACATGAATGAACTGGA